AAAGAAAAGGGATTCACCTAGGTCTCTAAGCAAGATGAAGGAATTTTTGACAACTCCACACAAAGACTTAAGCTGCTTGTCTCAGCTGTATCTGAAATCACCATTAAAAACTTCAGTCTGGATTGCATGGGGTTGGTGGGTTGGTAGGTTGGCAACTGGGCTAGATTGATGCTCAGCTTGCATTACGGCTCTTGCTGTCCTTCACTGGTGGTTCCCCTGCTGCTTGCCATTCTCATCCATGCAGGGAAAGCAAGTCTTACATGCTGGAACCTCTGTGGATGATTTATCAATGCCTATCTTTTCATTTTTGGTACTGTTCCCTCCTTATTAATCCCCATTCTTTCCTTTGCTCTCCCATATGTTTGCACACTCTTTCCAATCTCCACCCTCCCCATCCTGGGTCCAGTAAAAGTCTTGCTCGGTCTGCACTAGCCAACCCGCTCCTTCCTCGATCTTCTGGGTTTGCTGTCCATTCATCAGTGTACTGTTTGCTCTTCTCTTTAACCTCCCAAATATCAAGTCTCAGCAGGATGCTCATCTTCCTCTCAAGATGAACAGGTTGATCAGCCTTTTAACTCAGAAACAAAAAGACCAAGGCCAGGACCATCAGAGAAAACACAGATGCTGCTCCTCCAGCTCTCAACCATGGTATACAGTAGAGGATTTTGACCTGGAATTGGAAATTAAGCTTCCAACCCATGGGAATGGCAATGATAGTGTGGGGAATATCAGAAGATCACCAGGCAAAGGATTTTGGCAATTTCATGGGAAGGCAATGGAAGGCAGCTGCCTTGCAAGTCTGACCTCATAAATTAGGGTTGTTTACCTTCAACTGAGCATGGGTGGGAAATACGAGCTTTAGGCATTTAAGGGCTCCCCAGGAAGGAGATATAGTGATAACCTATAGCTATGAGTTATGTGTATTCCTCACTCTTGAATTAGTTTGAACAACTCTGATTGACTCCCTCTTGGGAACTAACTGTGGTATTTGACTGTTACACTTGGACTGGACATTTTGCATCTCGGTCTGACTCAAGCACAATCTGATCTTTCGTGACTCAGATGAAAAACTATACCTGATTTATAGCTTTACCAGCATACATCACCATTAATGCATTTCCTAGTTTATGACTGATTAATTAACTTTCTTCTTGAGTCCAGTTTGCCAGGTCTTACCAAAAAGGTTAATCTTTTCCTTTTTACATATTTTAAATAGGGCAGCATGCTGTGTAATCACATAGTTTGCTGCACACTGTATATGCCCAAGTAAGTATTACAAAAATAAGAAAAAAAGATGGACCGGCTATGGATATGTGGCTACTTACAATAAGTGTTAATGTGCCTCTGTTTCCTACTGTTGTTGCTTCCTCAGATAGCATCTAAGATAGCAACTAAAAATCTAAGATGCTAATCTTGTATCTTAGAACAATTTCTTAGAACAATTAATAAGTGGAATGGCTTGCCTTCAGAAGTTGTGGATTCTCCATCAGTGGAGGTTTTTAAGAAGAGATTGGACAACTGGTACAGGCTCTCCTGCTTAAGTGGGGGGTTGCACTAAAAGACCTCCAAAGTCCCTTCCAGCTCTGCTGTTCTGTCATTCCATTATCTCATCTCAAGGCCTACAATAGTGGTTTCTGTAAAGAATGGTAAAACAAATTCAAAATAGCAGCAATTACTGGCACTTTTCCCTATGTGTTGCATGTGTGGTGCATGTAAGAAAGGGCCAAGGCTTTAACTGTATGACTGTGGTTGCCATTTTGGGCTTTTTTGATACCATCCTCATCCTCATACATACCCTAGCTTATGTGTAGGAGTAGACTAATCTTGAAATGTTCATTTGCTGTGAGTCAATTCTTTATTTGTGGCAGAAAAAGGTGCATGTCCATGGATACATGTGTATGTGTGTGTATTTGTGTATAGTCTGTGCAAGCAGAAATAGTTAAATATTTTAAAATGACATTACTTGAGAGCTATCTGAAGTGGTCAAGATTCTGTCATCTTGTTCTGATGTATATTATAGCTCTGGGTTTCTTTCTATAGAGGTTTTAACAATGCAGAATTGTAAACATTCCTTTTTCTCCAGGAATTTGCAACTTCAATAAGATGAATAAAACAGGGGTAAAAATGTGGCTTACTTTAAACACAAAGTCTTGAAGAAATGGTCTCACTTGCTGTTGATTCCCAATCTGAAACGTTTGAAATTCTAAATGTGGTTTAAGGATCCAAAGCATTTTTATAAATGCTTATTTTAACGAGTTACTTTCCTTTCTTATTAAAGCCAGAATAAGCTTGAGGACTACTAGTTTTATACTGTACTAGAGTAAGTGTGGGGAGCTTTTCTCTCTCTTAAACATCCACCCCAAAACCAACATTTTGACTCTGGTATCATGTCTTTTTCCCTCTCAGCCCTGCCCAAGACTTAATGAGTAAACACATTATCTGTGTTCATCTGCCATATAAAAACAGGATAATTTGAAATAAGAAAAGTTTTCTACTCTACATCTGTTTTGCCCAGTTTGGGTCCCTGCAGGTTTTCTTATAGTATCTCTTGTTCTTGCTCACTGGCAGGATTCATGGGAGCAGTGGAGGGGTCCATATTGAAAAAGACTGTTCTAGAGAGCAGGAACCATCTTTTCGTGATGGGGTTGGATAGAACTGTAGTGTTCAGATCTCTCTAATTCCAGAATTGGCTCACATTCATACTTTGAATTGGTTCTATATTGGTGGAAAGGAAAGCAGGCAATACATCATAGATGCTCCTCTATGTTGAAGTAATTTAAAAAGGGAGTTGTATTTTATATAAAGATGTAACTTAGTGTCCTGTATTGCATAGAAATAGATGCATTTCAGTATAGCATATACCCTTACCTTCTTTTCCCTTCCATTCTTCTATTAAATTTTATTAAGAGTTGGATTTTTCAGTTGCTTGTTGCCATTTACTGGCAACTTGGATTTATATAGCACAAATATGCTAATCCTGTGTTTAGGCCAGAGGGAAATTGTGAAAATGGCAAGTCAACAGTAGGCTTCTGTAGAGATAGAAGACTCCCTGAAGTATAAGTTCCATTGCTTTTCGTTATTTCTCTTTGGATTTCTTTCCTTTACAAAATTGGTTAAGCATCAGATATTCTGAACTTACCATATTCATTAAGACAGAGACACAATCCCTTCAAGAAAAAAATCCATAGTTCATAGAAATCTAGTACAAACTGGTAAGATTCCACCACTTAACATATGTCTATCTGTTTGACAGTTTGAATCTTGCCTAATATATATAACTGTGACCAAGTTCTACAGAATGATATGGTCTGTACGAGAAGTCACATTTATCACAGGGATGCAAATCCTATGTTCAATATCAAATCTTACCCCAGTGCTATGTTACATACTTGGAAATTAAAACAAATTTCATTCCTTTCTTAACTAAAGTGCTGCGCATTCTGCGTTGCAAATGAAGTCCTTTCAGGAAGTCTTCTGAGCCCTTCTGCAACTGGATCTATGCCTTTGCTTGACTAATTTGCATCAGAACTTAGAGACACTTGGAACTGTATAACAGAATATGGTCCAAAACTGAGTACTAACTTAAGTTGTGTACCATAGTATTCCCCAGTCATTCTCCATACATAAAAGTTCTTCCTGCTTGACAACTGCTTCTAAAGTAGCCTGAGGAGCACAGCTGGATAAGAAGGGCCTGTCTATCACTACACTGGAGGGATCAGTTGACAAACAGCTGTTTTAAGTAACAAGTATGCCAGATGTTTACATTGGCTCTAGTCTAGCACAGCTGTTCAAGAAGGCATGTTGCAGCAGGGAGTGTTTGCATGTTTACTATCCTTTTCTCTTCATGGGAAAAGAGGATTCATATCAGCTACTGGCCGGAGAATCTTTCTCCATATTATGTCAAATGAAGTGGCCGCCTGTGAGTTTTTGGACTGAAGCCCTTTCTGATGGGTGGGCAAGATTATTGCACTGAGAGAACACTTTTAGATGCACCTCAACCCTATTGCATAAAACCCTAACTTGGTTTAGTGGCCTAGTTCAGCACAAGAGTTAGCCTCACTCCTTCTCCTTTTCCTTCGCCTCTTCCTTCAATTTTTCCTTTTCCTTTCCTTTTTTTTGAATGGGGGGGCCAGGAGGGAGGATATGTGCTACTTTACTTCATATGAAGAAGGTGCCATGGAGACTTTAAAAATATTTTCTAGCTATAGTCCAAAATATTACTACCTTATTCAGCAAGTTTTCAGTAAACCTGCTTGATAGATTTGGCATTATGTACCATATGATGTATGTAAGTTTGCATTATGCACCATAGGACATAAGGAAAGATACTGAAATATTTTTAAAATGTTGTACAACTGTTATAGTCATGTATTAAATATAGACCTATTTAGATGTCGACACTGTGTTACATGACATGACGTAGAAACAAATATGCTTATCAAGTAAGGAAGATAAAAACCTGTGGAATTTCTGTACTATAGCTCTCATTGCACATATTTCTATATGGCATTTATGTCTGAAAACTCATCTTTTCTTTACATCCTCTCAGCTTCCTTATTTCAGCAATAAAATGGAGAAAGGAGCAATTATGTGATAATTTAATAATCTTGCATTCTGATGACATACTTACCTTTGGTTGGAATTTGTAAATGTTGCTAGAGGAATTCAGGAACAGCACTCATTGGGTTCAATAGCAGAAATTATTAAGATTGTAACCTCAAGAAGCTTCAGCTTTCCAAAAGTCCCTGAGCAACCTGGAATGTGGAGTATATGAACTAATCTGGATGGCTGATATTCTGCATACAAAGTGCAAATGATTTCCAGCTGAAATTGGGAACAACTATTTAGATTCTTGACCCCATTTTTTTAGTCCCCCATGCTGGCATTAAGCCTGTCTATTGTTATTGGGTCTCTGGCCATTTTTCTGGGTACTCATTGCTGTACTTTGCCCTTCTGGGAGACAATGATATTGATGATGTTTTGGATTATTGTGATTTCAGCGCTGGGATTCAGAACTGGAAACCTTTGCCCAAAATTACTCAACACAATGCACTTGGGAACATAATAAGGAACGTGGCTACCGAGGCGAGAACCTTTTTGCCATGACTGGATACCTGGATCTGGAGAGAGCGATGGAAGACTGGTATATCGAGTACCAGTATTATAATTACAGCACATTGGAATGTAAAGAAGGGGAAATGTGCGGTCATTACACCCAGGTATCTAGTTGTATCTTGGTGGAGGCTTAGAGTCAATGCCTAGGAAATGGTGTATCATTGTGCTACCTACTGAAATGAAAAGGCCCCACAGTGATAGAGAGCTCATAAGTGATAGTAAGATAAAAGTTATTCTGTAGAATGCAGTATAGACAGTGATTGCAATTGAGGGGATTTCTTAACTTCAATCATCTTAGATTCTGACTTCCATGTTAATTCCCAGCTAAGATTGAAACCAATGGGACACACATTCATGAATAAGGCTCCTGTTGATTTTCAGTGGTGCTGAAATTGATGACATGGTCTGAATTCAGCTGAATAACTCCAACCAGTTGTTGCTGTTGAGGAAAGCTCATTTTCACGTCCCTTTGTGGGATAGCCATGAAATTATCAACCTGCCTGCCTGCAGATTAGAATCCCCAGTTATGATGGATTATTTTCATTTTATATTGCTCTTACATTTGTTGGGAACAATTCATTAAAATGCTAATATTTCATAAGAATGTAAGGCTTGCACAAGACTCATGCCATTCTCCTCTATAGTCTATCTTCACAATGTTGTATAAGTAGGCAGCTGAGAAAGGTATCATACTTCAAGGCTGACTGAGTAGTTGAACCCAGAACTTCCCTAATCTAACTGTAAAATTGTTGCTCAATGGAAGGCATGCAGTTGCTTCCACACCTTCTTTCAAAAACAATTTATGTACACAGGACACTGCATAATGTCAATTTATATTTTTTAAAGGAAAATAATAATAAATGAGGACTTGAAAATTTCTGATCCTCTAATTCTCTAGGACTCTTAATATCTGTAACCTGGCCTAATGTGAATGAGCAATGAGTGTCTCTATCCTTGTAATAAAACAAATTGGATTTAAGTTCAAGGCATATGCACATCTTGTGATGAAAATAATGAACTGAGGATGGAGAGAGAGGAATTCTTGCATGCCAATCCACTCATGGAGAGATATTTGATTAAATACCATCTCTAACAAGGTCAGGTCTATGCTTCTAAAGAAGGTGAAACTGATATTAATGTATTACTTCACACTAGAAAAAAATCACACTGTAATTGTAATAGAAGGTCAAGAATGAGCCTTTAGAAAATCTAAGTAAAAATATTGGCCAATGTGTATGAAATGAATGCACAATTAGTAAACTTATCTGAAAGATTCTGAAATAAACATGTGGATGGATGGTTTCAGTTGCTAAATAAAGGTTAGGCAGACATCACCCATAGACATCTTTTTGGTCTGATATAATGAATAAATGGGCTATTGCTTTCTTCTATAGGTAGTTTGGGCCACCAGTGAGCGTGTTGGCTGTGGGACAACATTCTGTGAAACCCTGGAACTGATAAATGATACTGACATGCATTTGTTTGTCTGCAACTATCAACCCCCGTAAGTTTCTTTCTCCCCCAGCTTATTGTGTCATCTTTGTTCTGATGGTTTAGAGATTAAAGAAAAAAAACAGCTTGTTTTTTCATTCTTGTGTTCCATTACAGGTCCATGTAAACTTTGTAGCAGGGAAGAATCAATACTTCTGCTTAAAGAAACAAATAAAAAGAACAGGGAAGTTTTGTAGATAAGGGGTAGGCAGAAAAAGAAAAAGTGCCCACTAGGAAATTGAGGTTTGAATGGAGTGATGAATTTCTAGAAAGAACAATCACTGAATCAATAAAAGACTGTAAAAAAAAAAAAGCAGATACTGACTCATGGGAACCTGGAAGCCAAGGATAAGATGGCAGCATAGAGCAGTAACCAGCCCTCTGGAAAGGTGGAGAGAATGGGCTATACCTTATTGTAACTGATTAGATATGTTGCTGTCAGTAGATTGGAAGGAAGTAAAGCAAATCATCTGCTTAAAATGACTTAAACTGGAAAAGAGCACTCAAGAAGTGCTGGGTGACCAGTGTAGATGGAGGGGCCACAGAAAGTATGGGTTTACCCTAATGGTGAATTTAATTCAGTACTGCATCCTTAAGCCCAGGCTTCAATTTTGGGTCTTTTGCATAGAAAACACATGTTTGTCCCTCTTATGGGATTCAGGAATTCTCCCCCCTTCCCCTCCACTCTCCCTCACAAGTGAAGACCATTTCTGAACTGACCACTGCCCAATAAATAATGAAAAACTAATGAACCAGATTCAATGACATATGAAAAACATTAGGTTGATAGTAACTGCAACAACCAGGTGCATGAACCATATTTTTCTAAATCAATAGCACAAACATGATTCTACTGAACGCAACGCAAGAGTTAAAAGACTCCACCAATCCATGAGAATATATTGTTTTGTTTTGTTGTGCTGACTGAAATTCCTCAGCTGTTGCACTGGCAGTTGCTTCAAACAGTTTTGCAGTGGGGTAAGCCATTCCATAATCAAAGGGATTTGCTAACAAGAAAAAAGGAGACACAGAAAAAGTCAGCATTGCTCCCCATGAAATGTAGACACAAACATTGTGAGTGTACCACAAAACCGCCTCATTTACTATGTGAGAGTACATGACATAGTTGTATAACTGTTGTGTCAGCAGTTTGCAAGATTGGATGGTTTGATTGTTTCCTGGCATTTCTCTCTCTTGTGTGAGAAACCTGTGAAATATGAAGAGGGGTGTATGCAGGATACAGCAAATCCTGACACACATAAAAAAGTGGGCAGAACTTCAATCATATCATCATGATTACCTATCCCAATAACACCACTGAATATGAACTAATATAAATAATGAATATACAAATGAATTATCTTACTAAGTGTTAACCTATTTTGAAAGTGAATTGTTAAAATGAGCGTACATGTTCCATTAAATAGAGTAGCCCTAGTAATATTTCCCTCCTTCAAGGCAAATCAGCCATAGAAAATATAAATACGTTTTATAGAATTAAATATACATAATTACTGCAACTGTTAATCAGATAATATTACTTTGTACAAAAGAAGCGCTAGTCCATTTCTAATTAAAGTGTAACTGACATTTTATCACAGTATAACATCTACTATTAATAATTGTCTGGATTTAATTGTGTGTATGTTTCTAGTTCCAGAATATGTTAAGAGCCCTAGAGATTTCATATAAACCTACTTCAGGAGTCCATCTTACCTAAATTGCAATTATTCTTGGTATCAATCTTAAAATTAAAGAATAATTGTTCTTAAATCAGTGTCAGCCTAAATTCTGGAATAAAGGATTCACTGGATGATATTTAATTAATTTTTGGAATGTAAATACTTACACAAATATATAATTAACATTAATAAAATTATATTCTCTTTTTCACCATTCAAAGCAGGAATATACTAGGGGATAGTGTTAGAAAGTAAAGATGTTGACTGTGACCACACAAAAGACATCATGACCCCTTTGAAGTGTGTTGTCAATATGGTACATGTAAAAATGGGGTGTGATTTTTATTAAACAGATGTGGTTGTCATCTTGACTTTATTTTAACTTCCTCACAGATATCTCTGAATCAAAACATCCAAAGTTCCAAATAAAAACACAAATACTTAGAAATTTTATTACAAACATGTAAATGCCCGGAATACATAAACATGTGGGCAAAGCTTTTTATGTAAATTTTTTTCAGAATGACATAGCATCTTTTTCTTAGCTATTTCTCCTTATGGAATTCCTGATATTAAATAATCACTTATGGGTACCAAAGATGACCATCTTCTATAATTTAGTGATTGCTAACTTCTGTAGGAAAGGAATAAGCTGCTCTGCTTTGCTCTTTTACATGACATGTTCACTTTTTAATTCCTAGGGGAAATATAAGGGGACATAAGCCATATATCATGGGAGATTCATGTTCCATGTGCCCAGAGGGCTACTTCTGCAAGGACAATCTCTGTGGTAAGTCATATTTCCATGTGACTGCAGGTCTGAAAAAAGGCACCTTGTTTAACAGCACCTTCCTCCAAGATTATCTATTGAATTTAAATTTAATTAATTCTGCTGCTGGTAGCTACTCTGCAAATACACCATTTAAAAAACTGATGACCAGTAGATGTGTTTGACTTCTACTGTCCCAAGAGGAAAGCTGATTTACTTTTTTATAATTCAGTAACTGCGATTACTGTGATAAAGTGCATGTATAAAACAGATCAAACATTTCAGACTAAGCTTTCTGTCTCATGTGACCACAAATCAAACATATTTCTATGGAGACAGTGACATATTGAATTGAAATCCATCATGAACAAAGTAATGAGGGGATTACTTCATCTTCTCTCATAGCTACGCTATTCTGAATAATGAGGAGATTAAAATATGGACATTTATTGCTGACAAATTACTTAAGAGTTCCAACTGAGGTTTATACTGGGAAAGAACAATTTAAATGACTATTTTTCTCTCATGATGAAGTTCTTTATAGCTCAAAATTTTCTCCAGGTCTTCAACATGAAGATGATAAGGGAGGTCATCCAAAGGCATTGGGTTAGGCCCAGTATCTGATGATACCTAGATATTTTTCTCAATCCCTATCTGACCAAGTGATGCTATTAAGGTTTTATCGCCGTGCCTGAGGCTGATGGAGATGACTTACGCTCAACCCTGGCAACACAGAGTGGTGCTTGTAAATATCGGAGCCACTCAGTTCCAGAATGTTCCGATTATCAGAATCCTTGCCTACAAACCAACTTCTAGACTCTTGGCTTCTGCTCATAAAGCAGTTGGCAGCTGTGGCTAGGTGAAACTTTTGTGTGCTATTTGCATTCATTTTTAGACTCACAATCATTTATGCTTTAGAGTTTTTTCACTTGGACTATTGCAATGCACTCTCCATGGTGTGGTCCTTGAAGACAACTCAGGAGCTACAGCGGGTAGTAGCAAGAATAGTTATGGGTACACCTTAATATTCCCATGTAAACTTCTACTGCATGAGATGCACTGATTGCACTGTGGGATTATTAGTACAATATAAGGTATTGGTGTTTATCTATATAGGATCTGGATATGGCAGAAGATCTGAAGGAAAGTCTGTCCCTAATTATCACTGCCAGTTATACAAGATCCAATAGGATTGGCACGGTCTGGATTCTATCAAGTAAACAGGCACTCCTTTTTGGTCACAGTGCCTGCCTCATGGAACAGCATCTCTCAAAAGAGATGGCTAACACCAACCCTGCCGTTAAGAAAGTTTGGAAAATCTCGATTTTCCCTTAGGCACTAGGCTGGGTGGGCACATAAGAGAAGAGATCAAACATTTCAGACTAAGCTGTCTCATGTAACCACAAATCAAATATTTCTGCTGGAAATGTAAAAACATTTGTTGTGCTTACTTCTAGATTTGTTATGTATTTTATGTCTTTATGGTTGCTTTTTATTGCAATGTTTTTAAAACCCTGTTAGTCACCTGGAATTGAGTAGACAGCCATATGTATTTAATTAATTAATTAAAATCATGAGTTGGCTTCTTGATGACATCTGATTGCTATGCTACATGTCTAGTTCATGGTGATTTGCAAATATGACATCCCCAGTCAGATATCATAAGTGTGGTCCAAGCCCTTTTCCTTAAACATTGTCATCTTATGGGACCTCACAAGGACCTCTTCTCTATAGCACCCTGTCCTTTAGTATGGCTTTCCTTCTAAGATTTGCCCTCCCTCCCTTTAGCCTTCCAGAAGGTTGTGAAATATTGTCTCTTCCCCCCAAAATTGGGCTAGGTTGAGGTTGGATCAGAAGATAAATGTTCTGGGAATAGCAATAGCACTTAGACTTATATACTGCTCTATAGGTATTTACAGCACTCTCTGTGTGGTTTACAAATATCAGCATATTGCCCCCAACAATCTGGGTCCCCATTTTACTAACTTTAGAAAGATGGAAGGCTGAGTCAACCTTGAGCCCCATCAGGATCGAACTTCTGTGGGCAGAATTAGCCTGCAATAAGCATTCTAACCACTATGCCACCAAGGCTCTAGTGGGTATGGAGAGGGTAGGAAAGGATATGATCTATTGTTATGTTGTTTTTATGAGTTGTTGCGAGCTGCCTAGAATCATTGTATGAGATAAGCAGCCAAGTAAATTATGCATGAGCTATGAGGTAACCAATGCTAAAGGATATGTATACACATGCTTATCCCTTCACAGTAATTTATGTCAATCTATGCTAAATATGAGAATAAATCTGTTGTCTGAGATAGAAAATCCCAGTGGTATCCTCTTCTTGATATTGTTTAAAAATATAAGAATTAAATAATCTTTTCCTAATCTGGTACCTAGGTTGGTGAAGGCCAAACTAAATAATTAACTTTTGTTGCATCCTAATGGAGTCCCATTTAAATGATGCTCTAAATGGTTGCATGCCTCTGGGAGGCACAAATGCTTATTTCATCTTTTATGAAATAAATGTTTGAAGTCAGAATTCCTTATAATGGATTGCAATGGAGCTTTCCAGGGCCCAACTAAGCAACATTGGCATCTGCTAAAATCCAGATGACATCTATATTTAATTTAAAAGCAAATGTCTATGTGCAGCTTTTTAAAGGCATCCAAGAACTTCAAGCTGGGATAGCCACCACAGACTCATAACACAGTAAACCTTTCCAGCAGGATAAACATTTGTGTCAAAGTGCAATTTTCCTGCCCCATAAATTATTGCTGACTTGCTGTCAATCTATGTATTTTCAACCAGATTCCACTGCTGATGTAGAAGAAACCACTGCAGCACCCACAACCCCTGAGTTGAAATCAACTACAAGCCTAGATTTGCAGTCCATCATAACAGTTTCAGCAACCTATATACCAGAAAGTCCCCAAACTGGCACCGAAGCAGGATCAGAACCTCCCGTTACAGAAGATCAAGACACCATTTCAACTGCAAGCCCAGATCTGCAGTCCACCACAATAGTTTCAGTAGCATACACACCTGAAGGCTCCCAAATTGGCACAGAAGCACAATCTGAACCCATTGTGACAGAAAAACCAGATGTGGATCTTAACGTACCTGACTTACACTCAGGCACAGATGGGATTGATGAATCCTTGATGACCACAACCAGTGCTACATCTTTTGTAAACTTAATCCCATCTCTTTCTTCTATTTCTCCTGAAACAGGAACTAAAACAACTACTGGCACAGATGTGATTGATGAATCCTTGATGACCACAACCCGTACTACATCTTTTGTAAACTTTTCTTCTATTTCTCCTGAAACAGGAACTAAAACAACTACTGGCACAGATGGGATTGATGAATCCTTGATGACCACAACCAGTGCTACATCTTTTGTAAACTTTTCTTCTATTTCTCCTGAAACAGGAACTAAAACAACTACTGGCATAGACGGGATTGATGAATCCTTGATGACCACAACCAGTGCTGCATCTTTTGTAAACTTTTCTTCTATTTCTCCTGAAACAGGAACTAAAACAACTACTGGCACAGAGCATCCGTCTTCTGCTGGTGTCTTAATCACAACCCAAACATCCTTGGTCAAAACTGAGCAACCTGTAACGACTCCCACAACTACCACAAAGACCCCCTCCACTCCCACAAAGCCATCTGTGCCCAAGCCCACCTCTGTGCCCAAGCTTCCCTCTGTGCCCAAACCCCCCTATGTCCCTAAGACCCCCTCTGTCCCTAAGCCCCCTCATATTGATAAGCCTCAGTTTTTTCCTAAGCCACCCCCCATCACTATACAACGTCCCATCTCTAAAAAACCAGCACGCCATCGTTTGATGGCCTATTCCAAAGCCATACAGAGCAGCAGCAATTCTTTCCAGTCTTCTGCAGGTAAAGCAGCCTCAATGTCTGTCTGCCTGCCCTGCCTTGGGTGTAAACAGATCAGCCAACCTGAGGACATAAAGACTGCCCTTAAGGAGCTGACCTTCAGATATCCCTATGCACCTTGCTTTGGCTCACTTCCCCGATGGCAAAGACATAGCAAGTGCAGTTGGTGTGGGCACACTCGAAGCAATGCTCTTAGAAACACCGGGCCTTACTGGCTCCACACTTCATAGTAATACGTAATCTGACATATTTACAGGTAGTCCTCGACTTACAACAGTTGAACAGTAACCATTCAAAGTTACAACAGCATTGAAAAAAGTGACTTATGACCGTTTTTCACACTTACGACTGCTAGAGTATCCCCAGGGTCACATGATCAAAATTTGGATGCTTGCCAACTGACTCATAATTATGATGGTTGCAGGGTCCCGGGGTCATGTGATCCCCTTTTGCAAATTTCTGACAAGCAAAGTCGATGGGAAAACCAGATTCACTAAACAACTGTGTTACTAACTTAACAACTTGTGTGATTCACTTAACAACTATGGCAAGAAAGGTCGTAAAATGGGGAAAAATTCACTTAACAAATGTTTCGCTTAGCAACAGAAATTTTGGGCTCAACTGAGGTTGTAAGTCGAAGACTACTTTAATATGTAAACTCCTCCCTTTTTTCCCCTTTGTGCATGCCTGTATTTGGGTGTCCATGTGCACACCTGCACCTTTTTCTTCTTTTCCCATAGCTGGGCAAACATTCCATCAAGTGGGGCTCGAATTGGTCCAAAGAACAGAATTTTCAGCAATGCGAGGGGTTTGTTGGGAATTGTTCTTTGTTTCTACAACTTCTACATTTTCCTCAGTCCAGGTGTGGAAAAACATCTCATTTCTTCTTTCCTTTTCTCGTGATTTTGGCCTGAGTCAAAGTCCAGTAATAACAGACCTTCGGCTTGTGTGTCTGATCTGAAGCCCTGACTCAGTTTTCCGCATCACCTTACTTGTGGCATGTTTATTTATAGGATTGTGCCTGCATGCCATTCTCATAGCTCCTGTCCTGCTTTTGAGTTAGGGTTAGAATGTCCCCAGTAAGTTCTTCTTTATTGATCTGTTCTCTGTCAAAAAATGCCAGACTATTAAAAGAAATCTGGAACTTGAAAATAGAATAAATTACACAAGCAAAGCAAAGGCATATACCTTTACTGACTTCTTTAGCTTATTTCAAAATAAGAATTCATTTGTGCTTTCTTGATATAGATGCTGAAGCTTTGTGACCTAGAAAAACAAAACCCAAACAAAATCCAAACAAACGTGTGGGTTTATCATATCCTCTGGAAATGTAAGGCACGCTGATACTGTACTGCATGTCCTATTTGTAGAATTGGATATAGTAAATGATTGACTAGGAAAACTTGGCTAAGGAGTTTCCAGAGAAACGTAGTACATAACAATTTAATCTTAGACTAAATAAGCAATGCCCATGGGGCTAAAATATTGAGTGTGAAGTGAATGGGGTGTCCTCATCCAAATGTTACATGTATATTTTTTTTTACTTCCAGGACTCTTCACTGCTAAAATATTTTGATCAGGCAATATTATTAATGAACAATAATAAAGTTGGAAAAGCTGCTTTTGTGTCTGCATGTGTAAATGGAATCATTTTATGAGCCTGATTCATACAGCCATTTTTAGCAGTTGCTATTATTAAATGATACTTGATTGAAATGGTTCTTTCTTAGTTATCATGCAGTGTTGTTTATTTAAAAAAAACATTGTAGTCATTGGATGCAGGTAATCCTTGATTTACAACCATTTGTTTAGTGACAGTTCAAAGTTACAACAGCACTGAAAAAAGTACTTATGAACGTTTTTATGCTTATATGACCATTGCAGCATTCCTATGCTCATGTGATTAAAATTCAGATGTTTGGCAACAGGCATGTATTTATGACAGTTGCAGTGTCCTGGGGTCATGTGATCACCTTTTGTGACATTCTGACAAGCAAAGTCAATGGAAAGCCAGATTCACTTAACAGCCATGTTATAATTTAACAACTGCAATAATTTACTTAATATCTATGGCAAGAAAGGTCATAAAATGGGGCAAAACACATTAACAACTGTCCTGCTTAGCAACAGAAATTTTAAGTTCAATTGTGATCATAAGTCGAGGACTACCTGTACAGACATGATACTTGATTATTGGTAATCACATAAGTATCTCTGTGAACAGGCTGCATTTAAGTTCAACCTGAACCTACTTGACTATCTTGAAATGTTTCAGTCATTTACATAGACCTTTGTTTTGTTAGTTTCAATGGTACTTACTATACTTTCAAGTGACTGGGTTTACAATTGTGACACTATATCTCCTCTAAAGATATGAATAGCAAGTCAGTTTTGTGGTGTAGCATCTTTCAATTTGAAGTACCCCAAGGAATTATTATCCAGTATGATATATGAAACTTTACTCTAGCCCAGCTGAACAGCATATAGAAAAGTTGTTTTCAAAACTAACAGTATATGGATCTTAGCTGTTGTGACAGACAGATGTTCTCTGTTGCAGCATATCAGAGTTAACAGGTGTCCCATGATTCCACAGACAGTGATCCATCTTGAAAAAAAAATCATGTCTGCATTGTTTATGTTTAGCTATAGCTAGCCTGTTATATCAGAATGAAACTCACTCCCAATATAGAGATGTTTGATGTATTGCAGTGTAAATTCATTCAATTGTATCTAAAATAAATCAGGAGTAATGTCTGCTCCTTGTTAACTCCAATTAAACAGCAGGAATGTGTGATTAATGAAAAGATGAGAAATGTTTTCAAAGGCATACCCAGATAAATGTAGCTTTAAATTATGAAGAGGCCAAAGTGTTGCAGCTGGATCTCTTACACATAGCAGCCAGGCAAATGCCGATTTGATCCATATCTTTTACAGTTTCCAGAGTAATGAGTTCACTTCTTGACAAACCTCAGCTGGGCTAGCTAAGATCCAGTTGAAGGTGCTACTTGAAGCAAAATTCTGCAAATACTGTATTTTTGTTAACAGAACCTTGGGAAAGGTACAGCACCTTCTTAAATGGGTACAACATTTTAAATGGTACAATAAAGTAGCATTGCAAAGGCATGATTTTTAATACTTCTGAAATAAATGTTATTTCAAAAATCTTTTGCCTATAAAATGCATTATTTATTGGCTAGCTGATCTTTAGGACAATTTATTAAAGGAAGAGTTGAAGTGGAATGTCTGAGAAGCTTTTCTTGGTTCATATCAAACAGCCCATACAACAACAACAAATTTTATTAAGGCCATTGGCCAATCAACAAGTGACCTATCCCACTGTGTTTGTGAAATAAATAATGACCAAATGAAGCTTTTAATTTTTGTGGAGTTTTAAATATTTTTTTCTGGAATGCCCCCTTTACTTGTAGTCTATATGATACCTGCATTCTCATGTATATGTACCTGTTTGCAAATATATGTACTCATTTTTTTGGGTGTGCATACACATGTGTATTTTCAGATTAAAAATTTCAAGCAATTTTTGTTAACTTTCACAACAGGTAAAGCTGTCTGTAGATTTCATTTCATTTGAAGCTTATTTGGATTCATATAGATTTGGAGTTGGGATCAAGGTTAAGTTAATCACTCCGGATTGATGTGGCTTAAAAAGTACTTTGTGCATATGAGGGAATGATTTTAAAATCTTGAGAATGAAACCTTTTAGAAAAAGGGGACAAATGCAGGCTGTGGCTGCATTTTAGGGACTCATTTTCCTGTATTCAAAGCATTATATATTTTTTTTTGAAAACTCCACAAAAATTAAAAGCATATTAGGTTATTATTTATTTTACAATGCACAAAATAGGGTTTGTCTCCCAAACACAATGCTGCCTAGGGTTCTGTTAATTATTCACTTTATTTTGGTTTGAATGTCCATAGAATTAGGTTTAGAGTTAAGCTAATCATGTACCCCTGGGTTGACTGTCATCCTTTTCTTGATGGGATTAGATTCAACACACCATATACAGTTAGGGTTATGACCTTGTGAGGTCATCTTGAGGAGGAAGAGAATTATGCAGGTCATATGCAGGGAAAGGGAATTATACATGTCAATGTATGAACTTGATGATGCCTTAGTTAAAAAAAATATACATTCTTACTAATAGGTGAGGACTTGATCCTATCCTGAACACTAGGAGAAACCAATAGCAACTCTGATGGCCCTCTGTCCAGTTACTTAATGGGCTTATTTGAGACAGCTGTGCTTTGCCTCAGTCAAATGCTTTGTGCTGCAAGGAACACAATGTGCTTTCACATGTTGCTTCTGGAAGCTTCTTTCTCATGCCAATAGTTGGAAGAGGCTTCAGCACAGAGCACGTGGCATCTTTATTTCATTATTTAAAAGCCAGGGCAGGCTGCGTGGGCAAGCAAGGCAGTTTTTAAGAGGCACCTTTAAGCAAAGTGAGTCTGCCATGACTTGCATTGACCAAACACAATATCATATACAAGATCTTTCAGAACCATTCAGATTTTTTTTCTGTATTCTCAGCATAACAGAGATAAAGGAGGTCAGCTGAACAAACAGAATTCAGCTAGTATGTTCAAACAGTTCTCCCCTCCCTCCTCTGTTGGAAGTTGGAATGTAACAAATTCCCTATGACTTAACTATTCTACAATTCAAAAATTAACTATCACTCCGCTGGCAATAGCACAGCTTCTAATAAGTTGCTGCTAATGAATTTCGCAAAGAGTTAATCAAGGGCTCAGTTAACCTCAGTTGGCAGCTTCTGATGGGTTCTTTTTTCTGGGGTATCCAGTTCCTTTTCTCTCTCTGGATATCTGTGTTTAGTACAGAAATTATTCCATATTGTGTCATTTTTCTTACAAGGGATTGTTGCACTAAATCCAAATCTTGAATCCTGCTGGAATTTGCTTTTCTTCAGCAGCCAAGAAAGCCCTTGCTTGCCTGCCATTCTTCTTCTCTTCTCTCTTTCTCCAATTTTCATTCAACTCCTTCTTGATAGTTCTTAGCCATTTCAATTTTTACAACAAGGAAGACATTTGGTGTGATATCCCATATCTTTTCCTCTCTCAGCATTTTCCCACCTTCAGATTATTAGCCAAAATTAGTTGTATGTTTGGTCAGTCACATAACATCTTTTAGATTTTCCATTCTGTCACAGACTCTTCGAAGTTCTGCACTGCTCTATCACTTAGAGGTAAATCAATTTGAATTTGGTACTATATATAGGTCTG